GGTGCTGTGCCAGTTTTGCTCATAAAATATCACCATAGAATCTCAGTGGCATTCCCCAATAGGCATTTACTGTCAGACTCCCAGGTCTGTGGGTCTCCTTCAGGCTGCAGGTTTATGTGTGCAGATCTGCTCCATGTGTCTTGTGCTGGGCTTCGGCCAGATGGGCAGCAGCTACCTAGGATTAGGTCTTTTGGACAGGAGCTCCTAGAGAGACAAATGGAAGCACTGAGGCCCTGATCTGGTGCCGTGCCGCTTCCACACTCCACTGGCAGGGCAAGACAGCACCACCAGGAGCAAAGCCAGGGGTGGGTAACAAATGCTGTCCACTGAGACGAAAGGGTGTGATATTCAGAATTTCCAGAATAGTGAGAACTGGAGCCAGTCATTCCATCTACCAATGAGAGGTGGTTGTTTCTAAAAGTAGAAGGACATTTAATAGGAGTTGTTTATGTGATTTATTGCTTAGAATTGCTTGGTTGTGCTTCAGACCTAAGTCTTAGAGAATTCAAAGATATGTTTAAATATGTTTACTTGAAATAGTAATCAAGAGTTTCCTTTCTTTTTCTTCCATCTCCAATTATGGCTTGAAAATTTAACTTTCTACCATGCCAACTTCTCCCTTTTCATCGTGCATTGACATCCTGGTTTCACTTCAGCCCGGAGGTTCTGAAGAGTGAGCCGTATGGGGAAAAGGCGGACGTGTGGGCAGCAGGCTGCATCCTTTATCAGATGGCGACCCTGGATCCTCCCTTCTACAGCACCAACATGCTCTCCCTGGCCACAAAAGTAAGCAACCTTGGCAGACAAAAGGGTCTCATGTTGCCAAAAACACCATTCCTTTTCTTCTTAAACAGAACCTTTGTGATTGTAGTAAAACTGCCCATTAGAAGTAGTCACTGTTTTATTAGCCACATGATCCAGTTTATTTATTTATTTTCTCCTTTCTTCTAAATCTGCATCATGTGCTATGGCACATTTCCCCCTATAATTTTCTTCAATTTATCATAGAAAAATTTAAAAATAATATATCAAACTGCTTTTGGTCTTTTATTTATGCTTGTGGTTTGGACTGACCTCAATCCAATATATTATATTATCCTACACATCATTTATTGTGAATCTGAGGTTAACTTTTACTCAGCTTGAAGAATATAATTCTGTGCTCAAGAACTGTTTAATTAATGCTGCTTTTAAAATTGTTGGGATATTTTTGTTTCTGATGAAAATGTGTGCATGAGATTATGCTTGTTACATAACTCTTGTGTTGTGGCCAAGTATCACCATGCAAAGGCACCTGTGGCTTCTTTATTTCCATTACTCCAGCCTGTTTGTTTTGCAGATAGTGGAGGCGGTATATGAACCAGTGCCAGAAGGCATCTACTCTGAAAAGGTGATCACTACCATCAGCAGGTAATTAGTCTTACCACTTCAAACCTATAGAGATTATCAAGAAATACCTTGTATCTGTGAAAATGTACTGTTAAGAGGAAGGGTTCCCAAATAATGCAAATCTAGAAAAATGTTTGGACATCATTTGTCATAGAGACCATTTGGAAGCCACCAAGTGTCCAACAGGAAATAGTACATTCACTTGAAATAACATGTTACCATTAATCTGATTATTCAGAATGTTTCATATCAACCAGTATAGCAAGTGTGATCTGCTAAAGAGATATTTCTCCAAAGAATATATATATAGATGTCCAAGGGACACATGAAAATATGCTCAATACTGCTAATTATTAGAGAAATGCAAGTCAAAACTGCAATGAGATCACCTCACGCAAGGTGATGGCCTCACCTCAAGTCAGATGGCCATCATTAAAAAGGCTGCAAACAATAAATGCTGGAGGGAGTTTGAAGAAAAGAGAACCCTCCCCACGCTGTTGGTGGGAATGTAAAGTGGTAACAGCCACTATGAAGGACAGGGTGGATGTTCCTTAAAAAACTAAACATATAGCTACCACATGATCTGGAAATCCTATTCCTAGACTTATATCTGCAGAAAACCATAATTCAAAAGGATACATGCACCCCAGTGTTTTTTAAAGCACTATTTAAAATAGTCAAGACATAGAAGGAACCTAAATGTCCTTCAATAGATATATGGATAAAGAAGTTGTGGTATGTATATACAATGGAATATTACTCAACCAAAAATGAATCAAATGATGCCATTTGCAACAATATGGATGACCTAGAGTTTGAAAGTGAAAGTCACTCAGTCGTGTCTGACTCTATGTGACCCCATGGACTATACAGTCCATGGAATTCTCTAGGCCACAATACTGGAGTGGGTAGCCTTTTCCTTCTCCAGGGGATCTTCTCAGCCCAGGGATTGAACCCAGGTCTCCCTCAATGAAAGCAGATTCTTTACCAGCTGAGCTACCAGGGAAGCCCTTAGAGATTGTTATACTGAGTGAAATAAGTCAGATAAAGACAAATATCATATGATACCACTTACGTGAGAAATCTTAAAAAATGGTATGCATAAACCTATTATATCAAACAGAAATTGAGTCACAGATATAGAAAACAAATGTATGGTTACCAAGGGGGAAAATGTAGAGAGATAATTAGAAGTTTGGGATTGACATATAGAGACTACTACAAATAAAATAGATAGCTAATAAAGACCTACTGTATAGCACAATAGTAATTTTTCAAAGAAAGTCACAAAGAAGTGCTCCAGCTCTCCACATAGCAGGATTTTAATGAAAGTTATTATCCCTGGAGAGGTTCAAAGTTCTGCCCCCACAGGGCTTGTCCCAGGTGACCCTCCTCTCAACTTCCCCCCGCTCCCCTTGCTGCAGCCACAGGGGGCTCCTTGCTACTGCTCTTCCCTTATTCTGGTGCTCACTTCCCTCTTATGGGAGGCAGTAGCACAGGCCCTCATTTCCTCTGGGTCTCTGCATAATCAGGGTGCCTACACTGATGCCCCCACAACCTCTCTGAATTCTCCTGTGCCCTGACCCACTTTACAGAGTTCACAGCATACACAACCCCTAACACGTTATCCATGTGCATGCAGATGTGTTCCTTTTTTGTCTCTTTCTTCCTCACCAGAAGACAGAGACTTTTTCAGTTTAGTTCATAGCTGTCAAATGCCCAGAGCAATGCCTAGTACCAAACAGATCCTTAACAGTTTACTGGTTGTATGAATAAATGACATTTATCTGGCTGATTGTTACTTCTGGACCATTTAATGCCCTTAAATTGGCCCAAGATTCTGCCCCATTGAGCTGAGTCAAATCTTTACTGTTATAATAAAAATCCTAGGGTCACCCCAGATGGAATCTTTATTCATCTCTCTGCCCAATTCCCTGAAATCTCAATTCTATATCTACCCTCACTCTTGGCACCACCTCTGACAAAATGTAATAAACATATTATTGTGGCTGTGTGCTTTTCCCTCTGGTTTCTCTATTCAGCCACTGTTCAGCATTAATAGATTCTCCTCACGTGATTGTCAGATTATATCCTGAGTCTTTCCTTGCTCAGCACAATGATACCCAATTATACTAAGCACTGCAGGCCCGGCTGGTACTGAGTTTTCCTAACTGTGGACTCTGAGCAGACAATTTGACTATTTTTTTTGGCATCTCCATTTCCTCGTCTGATAAAATGGGGATCATAATGGTAACAACGTCATCAGGCTAATGTGATGATTATAACATATGCAAATCTCTTAGCATAGAGCTTGGCAGATGGTAAGTCTTGAGCAATGTTGGTAGCTATTATTGTTAGTGTTGTGGGAAATGAGCTGAAATCCTCTCTAAATCATTTGAATTCCACATCATACTAGAGATCCACCCTATTGCTAATGAGTCCAGACAAATGTATTTAAACTACTCACCTCCTGTTCTCTGCTCTTTGTTTTCTGGGAAGTGCATTAAAAATTCAGGAAGTCTCCAGAGAGATCAAGATAAGAGTGCCACATTTATTCATTTAATTTCTCATTTTCTTAGGTATTTATGTGCCCCAAAGAATAGGAGAGGGAAGTACAGAGAAAAACTACAGAGACTTTACTCTGATTTTGTGGTGTTGGGCAAACAGGACCATAATGTGCTTCTGACAGACTCCCTGGTTATTGGTATCCATGCCTGTGGAGCTGGAAGGTTAGGCTTAGGGTATCAACATTATTATGAAAAGGTCAGAATATCAATAGGTTCTAGGATTGAGTGGGTTCTAGTCCTCACTCCTCCACTCACCTTTACCTCCGCAAGCCCCTCTCTCCTTTTCTGTGATGTATGGGCAGCAATCGTGACTACTCACGGGCTTACTCTGAAGCCTAAGTAAGATAATGCTTTTAAATAAGATAAAACTTCTTAGCATAGTTCTCAGCATGTAGCAAGCCATTAATTAAACTAGGTATGGTTATTAATAATATTACTTATAGAATGAAGTATATAAAAATTATGATAAATTTGATGAAGGGTGGTAAAAGAGGCAATGAAAAATTACCAAAGAACTTGATCTGGTTGAGGGATTTGGAAACGTTTTTCTATGAAAACATGACATGTAACCTAAGACCTGAACTCCACTAATTCTCAAATAGTAAACATAGCAGAGAAAGCATATCATAGATTCACATCTCTGAAGGCTGTCCTGAGCAAGAGAGCTTGCTGATTTGAAGAACTGAAAGAAGTTGGGGATGCAGCATGTCAAGTAAGACAGGGAATAGCTAGCAAAAGAGCCTGGGAGATTGACAGGCCCCACAGGCCACACTGAGAGTTTTGAACTTTTATCCCCAGTATTGAGGAGAGGACTGAAGACTTACTAACAGGCTGAGACATAGTGAAAATCTCTTTAGCTAAAATCATCCTGGCCAATTTGCAGGGAGTACACTGGAAGGAATGAGAGCGGGAAGGAGAGGCAGGTCCAGTTGTCCACTGAGAGGTGGTGACCGCCTTGACTGGACTGGTGGTGTTGCTGGAGAGAGAAGTGGATTGTTCCCGCTATTGCCTGGAAATTAAGTCAACAAGTTTTGAAGTACAGTCATAAAAGGATTGGAAAATACTTTGGTTAACTAGGAAAACTGAATGACATAGAGAACACGAAAACAATTGGATTTATTATGTGGAACCTCAGCAAAGGGAGCCAAAACCACAGAGTGGAAGTTCAGGGAGGGAGGGAGCAAGGTTAGTTCACCAATAGGAAGGAAATGTGTGTTAGAATTAGAGGCATCCACTGCAGAGCAAGGCTCCCCTGGTGGCTTAGCTGGTAAAGAATCTGCAATGCAGGAGACCCTGGTTCTATACCTAGGTCAGGAAGATTCCCTGGAGAAGGGGATGGCAACCCACTCCAGTATTCTTGCCTGGAGAATCCCCATGGACAGAGGAGTTTGGCAGGCTACAGTCCATGGGGTTCACAAAGAGTCACACCACTCAGTGACTAAGCACAGCACATAATAGAGCAGGCTGCTGATGGGTGATGGGTTTACCGTCACCGGGATGGTTAAGATGATGAATGATCACTATTTAGGGCACTCCAGGTGAAATGTTTTGAGCATACTTTTATTTATTTATTTTTTCATGGTCTCCTTTTATTCTTATTATTGTCAGATGTTTATACATTCTCTTTTTTTTCATTTATTTTTATTAGTTGGAGGCTAATTTCTTTACAATATTGTAGTGGTTTTTGTCATACATTGACATGAATCATTACAGTATAATAACACATATATATGGAATTTAGAAAGATGGTAATGATAACCCTATATGCAAAACAGAAAAAGAGACACAGATGTACAGAACAGACTTTTGGACTCTGTGGGAGAAGGCGAGGGTGGGATGTTTCGAGANTTAAAGCTTAACTTTCAGAAAACAAAGATCATGGCATCTGGTCCCATCACTTCATGGCAAATAGATCAGGAAACAGTGGAAACAGTGACAAACTTTACTTTCTTGGGCTCCAAAATCACTGCAGATGGTGACTGCAACCATGAAATGAAAAGACACTTGCTCCTTGGAAGAAAAGTTATGACCAACCTAGATAGCATATTAAAAAGCAGAGACATTACTTTGCCAACAAACGTCCATCTAATCAAGGCTATGGTTTTTCCAGTAGTCATGTATGGATGTGAGAGTTGGACTGTAAAGAAAGCTGAGCACCGAAGAATTGATCCTTTTGAATTGTGGTGTTGGAGAAGACTCCTGAGAGTCCCTTGGACTAGAAGGAGATCCAACAAGTCCATCCTAAAGGAAATCAGTCCTGAATATTCATTGGAAGGACTGATGCTAAAGCTGAAACTTCAATACTTTGGCCACCTAGTGTGAAGAACTGACTCATTGGAAAAGGCCCTGATGCTGGGAATGATTGAAGGTGGGAGGAGAAGGGGTTGACAGAGTATGAGATGGTTGGATAGCATCACGGACTCAGTGGACATGAGTCTGAGTAAACTCCAGAAG